GGCAATGCACACACCACAATCAGAATTGTACAGACTATTTTAAGTTAATGTGCTTTTGAATGAGTTTGCCTTATAATAGCATCACATTAAGAAATACTTTATTTTCCAGCTTGGATGCCTAATTAGACAACCTCGACTGCTTAACAACCATGTTTTTCCATAATGTTTGGAATGTTGACATGTTTGTGAGTGAAAATGACATATTGCATGAATAAAAATGTTGGACGAGACTTGATTTGATCCATCTGTGATTGACTGGACCAGAAATGACTGTTTCAAAATGGAGCCAGATCGATGGAGAGGTCGGAAAAGTTCAAAATGAAAAAGATTTATGATTTCAGAGGTGGAAAAATTGTAATCTGAACTGAATCATCGTTGAACTAAGCCTAAGGGAAAAAATAGCAATCTGTGCTACTGATGAACTTTACGCTGATGAAGCTTCAATCCTCAATACTTTTTTGTAAAGCTGCTTTGACACGTTCAGCATTGTATAAAGCACTGTAGACATAACAGGGGCTTGAGTTGACTAATTTATTTTTATCGATCATATTCAATTCACATGTTTCAGATTTGCCTCAAATTGTAGCACGTGTTTGCGTATGTTTCCTCCAGGTGCTCCGCTTTCCCCCATAGTCCAAACACATGCGCTATAAGTGAATTGGGTAAACTAAATTGGTTGCGGTGTGTGTGTGAACGCGAGAGTGTACGGGTGTTTGCCAGTACTGGGTTGTGGCTGTAAGGGCATTCGCTGTGTAAAACATATGCCGGAATAATTAGGGGTTCATTTCGATGTGGCGACCCCTGATACAAAGGAAAGGAAAATGAATGAATGAACGTATATGTAAATACACTCACCGGCCACTTTATTAGGTACACCTTGCTAGTATCGGGGTGGAACCCCCTTTTTGCTTCAAAACTGCTTTAATTCTTTGGGGGCATAGACTCAACAAGGTGCTGGAAATATTCCGTAGAGATTGTGGTCTATATTGACATGATAGCATCACGCAGTTGCTGCAGATTTGTCGGCTGCACATCCATGATGCAAATCTCCCGTTCCACCACATCTCAAAGGTGCTCTATTGGATTGAGCTTTGGTGACTGTGGAGGCCATTTGAGTACAGTGAACTCATTGTCATGTTCAAGAAACCAGTCTGTTATGATTCACGCTTTATGACATGGTGCATTATCTTGCTGGAAGTAGCCATCAGAAGATGGATATACTGCGGTCATAAAGAGATGGACATCGTCAGCAACAATACTCAGGTAGGCTGTGGTGTTGACAGGATGCTCAGTTGGTACTAATGGGCCCAAAGTGTGCCAAGAAAATATCCCTCACACCATTACACCACCACCACCAGTCTGAACTGTTGATACAAGGCAGGATGGGTCCATGCTTTCATAATGTTGATGCCAAATTTTGACACTACCATCCGAATGTTGCAGCAGAAATCAAGACTCATCAGACCAGGCAACATTTCTCCAATATTTTATTGTCCAATTTTGGTGAGTCTGTGCGAATTGTAGCCTCAGTTTCTTAGCTGACAAAAGTGGCACCCGGTGTAGTCTTCTGCTGCTTAAGCCCATCCATTTCTCTGCCACTTTAAAATCTATTAAAATAATTAGCAACCTTTAACTTACCCGACATCAATTTTCCATCCACCATTAGGCTAATTGTAGAGCAATTATTTTTAGACTTTTTTAGATGCCCTAAATCATTTAATAATCTCCATAATTTTTGTGAATCTTGCTTAGTTTCTTTTATCTAAAAAATCTAAAATTCTTTTATACTTTTTTTTACCTCATCTTTTACTTCATTTCTTTTCTTTTTAAATTGTTCATAATAAAATAAATTGTTACTATCTTTTTTAAACATTTTAAAACTATCATTACGCTCCTTAATTGCTTTTAAAATACTAGCCTTCATCCAAGGTTCAGTCCTTTGCTTAATTCTTATTTTTTTAAAAAGTGCTACTTTATCCAAAACTTTTAAAAAAGTTTGTCTTAAACCTTGCCCAAGCCCTATCTACATCATCACACTGCAAGACCTGAGACCAGTCAACCTTGCTAAGTTCAGTCATTAAAAACTGTGGACTATATTTCTTGTGAGATCTTAGTTTCACTGTGTTATGGTGTTTTATAGCCTCTTTCCCAGCTTTCCTAGTTACATAAACAATACGGTGATCACTGATACCAGCATCTATAACACCACTTCTCTTTAGAATGATCAGAAACCAATACAATATCAATGATAGTTTTTGTTATAGGGGTAATTCTTGTTGCTCATTCAGAACAGGTTTTCATAAACACGCTGTTTGCTGTGAGCATCTGGAAACAGGCCTCTGTAATAGCGTACAAACAAACGAAATATTGATCTGTAGAACAATCCACAAAAACCACAACACCTCGCTGCATCTGCTGTGCTAAAGCAAAACCCGTCGACTCTATCTACTGTATCTCTAATGACAGCAGTGAGTCATATGAAGATTGATGTAAAACTGAATGAATCGGCCAGATGTGTGTGATTTGGTAAGAAAGTACACCTCCTTTTGTTCTCCCCGAGGTCCTTAGATTTACATTCTTCACAGGCGAGTTCGAAAAATCCTGCTGTTATTCAAATCAGCCAGTGAGCTTCGCCTCCAGATGCTGGTTACTCATCAATATCTGAATCCTCCCTTCAGTTCAGCTCTATACTTCTTCATTAACTTCAGCCTGTGTGGAATTGTCTTAGCTTTTTTTTAATAGTCAGCATAGATATTTATTTGGTATTGTGACTCACAGTTTACATCTGCACGGGTAATGGAAGAGCGACGTCTTCTACTTTTTTCTTGATTTTTAAATATTGCATTTGCTTTATATTAATGTTATATTTGTGCCGAACCACTGTGGTTTTGAAAGTAATCAATAGGGGTTGAAGCCAGAATTATTAGCCCCACTGACACATTTGTCCCAATTTCTGTTTAACAGAAAGAAGTTATGTATTTTTATGTATACATATGTATACACTCACCAGCCACATTATTACGCAAACCCTACTAGTACAGGGTTGGACGTCAGTTTGCCTTCAGAACTGCCTCAATCCTTCGTGGAAAAGATTCAACAAGGTGCTGGAAATATTCCTCAGAAATTTTGGTTTATATTAACATAATAGCATCACACAGTTGCCACAGATTTGTCGGCTGCACATCCATGATGTGAATCTCCCATTCCACCACATCCCAAAGGAGCTCTACTGGATTGAGGTCTGGTGACTGTGAAGGCCATTTGAGTACAGTGAACTCATTGTCATGTTCAAGAAACCAGTCTGAGATGATTCACGCTTTATGACATGGCACATTATCCTGCTGGAAGTAGCCATCAGAAGATGGGTACACTGTGTTCATAAAGGGATGGACATGCTCAGCAACAATACTTGGCTGTGCCATTGACACGATGCTCAGTTGGTACTAATAGGCCCAAAGTGTGCCAAGAAAATATCCCCCACACCATTACACCACCACGAGCACTGAACCGTTGATACAAGGCAGGATGGGTCATGCTTTCATGGTGTTGATGCCAAATTCTGACACTACCATCTGATCGTTGCAGCAGAAATCGAGACTCATCAGATCAGGCAATGTTTTTTCCAATATTCTATTGTCCAATTTTGGTGAGCCTGTGGCAACTGTAGCCTCAGTTTCTTGTTCTCAGCTGACAGGAGTGGCACCCGGTGTGGTCTTCTGCTGCTGTAGCCCATCTGCCTTAAGGTTGGACGTGTTGTGTGTTCAGAAATGCTCTTCTGCAGACCTCGGTTGTAACGAGTGCTTATTTGAGTTACTGTTGCCTTTCTATCTGCTGGAACCAGTCTGGCCATTCTCCTCTGACCTCTGGCACCAACAAGGCACTTGCGCCCACAGAACTGCCGCTCACTGGATATTTTCAGACCATTCTCTGTAAATATATATACATGAACAAATTGGTAATAGCTTTTGTATTTCAGCCAAACTAATAGAAATAAAGAAAAAAATATAAGAATCAATACTTTGAATTTGAATTCACAAAAATTAGGAGGGTGCTATCGCAAATGGACCTGTCAGACGAACGTCGCTCACTTTAACGTAAATTTTGCCGAATAACTGTGCTGGTCACTGGGTGACAAGCTGTTGTAATATGCTGAAAGCATTATGTAAATAATATGTAAAATGTAAAATGTAAAATGTAGTCAATATAACTTATTTCTAAGACAACAATAAACTCTGTACCGCATCAGATGTCATTCCCTGATTGTAAATGCTAGCGCTCTCGGTTTGTTTCTGCAACCTGCATCCCGAATGTTTGCTAACATGGTAATTCATCTATATACTGTATAAAAATGATATATTTTTTTACATCACGATCAGTTAATCTGTCTTCTCTTTCTCTGTCTACAGGTGTATAACATGTTTCAGCACCAGAGTTTGGGTTTGAGGCTAAACATCCGAGTCACCAAGCTGGTACTCCTGCACAACCGTCCAGTAAGTTATTAACATCCAGATAAAGTTGAAGTCGGAATTATTATCCCCCCTGTATATTTTTTCCCCAATTTCTGTTTAACGGAGACATGATTTTTATAAACACATTTCTAAACATAATACTGTGATGATGAACTGTCACACAACGCAGACACTTCAATTAAGGAGCAGATGGGTCCACAACCGTGACAAATACTTTTAATAACTCTTTTCTAATAACTAATTTATTTTATCTTTGCCATTGTAACGAGGAGTCTGACACAGAGGAATCCATTTGCAGTATATTTATTAAACACAGTTTAATCTCAATCACATAATAAGCACTTGCGTGCGAACTCACATCAAACGTGGTAATATTGGGTCTAAGGGCTGGCAGCTGGTTGTCAAGGAGTGTGATAGCAGGCATGGGTCAGAGGCAGGCGGCGTGGGTCAGAGCCGAGATATATACGGCTGGTTTCAGGGCAGGCGACGTGGATCAAAGTCAAGGTATCAAGCAAGGTTCAAGGAAGGTGGCAGGCAAGGCAAGGCCGGAAAACAGTCCAGGTAAAACACGGGAGATCAGACAAGGAGATAACGCTCAGTAATGTCAGAAGGGCAAAACAAGGCTGCGTTCGAAACCGCATACTTCCATACTATATAGTACGCCAAAATCAGTATGTGAGCCGAGTAGTATGTCCGAATTCATAGAATTCGAAAATCAGTATGCGAGAAGTACCCGGATGACTTACTGCTTTTGGCGAGATTCCGGAGTGCGCATCCCATGCATGCTGCGCTATCCCATGATGTCCCGCGAGCGAATTCATGAATGGAAGTAAAGCGACGCAACTGACGCAGGTAGGTCACGTGACCATGACAAAATGGCGGATGTAGTACGTCCGAATTCCATTAATTCTTTTCACATTCATACTGTATAGAACGTACTTTTCTAACGGCCGAGTAGTTGGCTTAAATTCAAATGCAGTACCTACTGAGTAGTAGGCGGTTTCGGACGCAGCCCAAGACTTCGCACAGGAGTGAGTGTGTGAGCTGCTTATATGTGTGTGTGGATCATCAGTGGGATGAGCTGCAGGTGTGTGTAGTAATCAGTGTATGAGCATGACGTAATGTTAGAAGTCCGGTGATGGTGACCTCTGCTGGCCAGCGAGGGGAATGACTGGGACAGAGTCGGTGACAGCCATGATGACAGTAAATAATATTTGACTAGATATTTTTCAAGATTTTCTTTTATTGTAATTAGTGACTAGTAATTGGATTAATTATGCAGGTTAGGGTAATTAAGCAAGTCATTTTATATCAGTGGTTTGTTCTGTAGACAATCGAAAATAATATATTGCTTAAGAGGGCTAATAATATTGACCTTAAAATGTTTTTTAAAAAATGAAAAAACGCTTTTATACTAGCTGAAATAAAACAAATAAAAAGAAAAAATATTGTCGGAAATACTGTGAAAATTACTCTGTTAAACATCATTTGGAAAATATCTAAAAAAAAAAAGAAAACTTTAGAGGAGGGCGAATAATTGTGACTTTACCTGTATATGCACACCTTGACTCAGCGTGCCATTTATCACTCACTCACTCTCTGTTTTATTACTGAATTGCATTCTGTCTAAAGGCTCCTGAGAGTCTGCCAGAAGCTTTTTTGAGTGCTCACCTCTAAAATGATGTATGTCAGGACGTCACTGAATTGCCATTAGTGTCATTTTGCAGCGTTGCTTGAGGGTAAACCCCATGGACTCCCACAATCTGATAAAAGAAAGATTAAATCAGGTAACTGATGGATTTAGATGCTTGAAACACACTGTCTTCAAGTCCTGCTGAACTACAGCAGCATGTTGATTTCATTGTGTGACTGATAAATCACCATTATTATGTCAGTGGCAGTCTGTGATGGAAACGAAGATACTATTTGGTTTCAACTTTAAACTTTGATGCCAAACTGTACTGTACAGTGAGGGAAATAAGTTTTGAACACGTCGTGTTTTTTTCCTGGGGGTAATATTTCTAAAGGAGCTGTTACCATGGGATGGAACCAGACTTTGGTAAAACCCAAACAATGCAAATATAAAAATAAAACAAGTTCAAAAAAATCTGAGTTGTGTGTAAAAACAAGAAATGACAAAAGGGGAAAGTGCTGAACCACTGAAATGTATTTAATACTTTAAATAAAAGGCTTTATTAGTCATGGCAGCTTAAAGACCCCTCTAGTATGAGGAATGAAGGCACATGCATTGCTCAGGTGTGAGTTTTTCACAGACTTCATCAGAGTGTCAAAATCTTGATAGTTCTGTGGGTCTCGTCTATCAGTTCTGAGCTTTACTTAGCATTTTCATTGGATTCAAGTCAGGTGATTGGGTGAGCCATTCTACAGCTTGTTTTTTTTTGGCTGAAAGCATTTGAGAGTTTCCTTGGCTGTGTTTTGGATCATTGTCTTGCTGAAATGTCCACTCTGGTTTCATCATCCTGCTAAGAGATGTTGGACTAAAGCAGCTGCTATTCATTTACACCAAGGAAGGGCAGAAGGTTGCTGAAGAACCACTCAGGGATTTCAGCTGCTGTCTGGGCTTTCACTGCCTTTCTACACCTTCCTTTGTTCATGTGTTTAACACTTTTTCTCTGTGTCATTTCATTTGATTTCACATTACTTCATTTGTGAACTAATTAGATTTGTTTTCTTCGCATATATGGATTTTTTTTGTTACCAACATCCAATTAAAATTTCAAGTCAACAGCACCTTTAAAAATATGTTTTCTGAGAAAAATGTTGACATGTTCAATACTTATTTCCCTTGCTGTTAACAAGTTAAGAGAAGTTACACATTTAAAAGTGAAACAAGAATATTATTCATCTTGCATGCAGAGACACAGAATATTATTCAAAACTTTGGTGAAGCCCTTATGCTGTTTTATATATATATATATATATATATATATATATATATATATATATATATATATATATATATATATATATATATATATATATATATATATATATATATATATATATATATATATATATATATATATATATATATATATATATATATATATATATATATATATATATATATATATATATATATATATATATATATATATATATATATATATATATATATATATATATATATATATATATATATATATATATATATATATATATATATATATATATATATATATATATATATATATATATATATATATATATATATATATATATATATATATATATATATATATATATATATATATATATATATATATATATATATATATATATATATATATATATATATATATATATATATATATATATATATATATATATATATATATATATATATATATATATATATATATATATATATATATATATATATATATATATATATATATATATATATATATATATATATATATATATATATATATATATATATATAT